GGGGCTGTTTGGCATCTGACTGCATTCGTGCAACTGCAGTGTAACAAAGATGACCGGGGTCTAGTCAACAGGTGGATGTTGAAATGAAATTAAAGCATCAACTAAAATTCAATGGAAACACTGAAGAAAGCTGTTGATGGCCATGTTATGGACCCGTGCTCCCTCCTTTGCTCACTGTATTTGCACAGTATCAAGGTTTCAAATAGGTAATCATATTTTTATAATAGCGCCAAGGGATTACGATATCCTTCTAGATTTCCCATGTAAGTAAAAAGAAAGATTTTATGTCTGCTTAGACCAGTACATATTATAGTATTTATAACAAAATTATGTCTGCAGTACAGCAGACAGATTGATCTGACCCATATAATAATCACTGCATGTATTTTCTTCTCTGGAATATCCCTCATAAAGAGATCATCAAGATGCTTAGTAATCTTTTATTTCAAAATGCTTATTAATGTTTTGACTATTTATTGGTTTAAAACAGATGAATAATTGAAAATATTTTAGTRTATATGCATCAAAAAGACACTGAGACAATTAATGTAGCTATGATGATTTCTTACTAATTTTAGCTTAAAGAAACATGATGTCTCATTTCAGTTAATTTAAGCTTATTTTCCTTTTATTGTGTGTTATTTAATTTTAAGCAAAATGAAGTATTTTAGAAAACAAAAAAAATATATTCTTATCAAAATGCACCCATGGAAATCTTAGAAAAGAGAATACACTACTAATAACATAATCCAAAATAAAAATGCTCTGCATTGTAGCACTTATGAGCCTTATTTGATAAATCTTTCTGAAATATTAAAGAAATGGAATATATGACCATACATAAAAATGTAGTGACACCTAAATAATGCTCCCAATTCTTTATAACCTTGCTGAAGGGTAGATATCAAATGTCTTGTTGTCAAAATAATTTCAGTTATTTCTACAGATTTTTTAGGCAAACTTGCTCAAGTCAGTACATCTTTTTCAAGTGGTAATGATATGTCAGCTTACTCAAAAAAAAGGGTTTGCAAGCTGCAAGTTTGCTGCTTTTTCAGTGCAAGGGGAGTGGTAGGGTGGAAGGGGAGAGGAAGAAAGAGAGCACACTGGCATCTTACAATCCTTAAAGCTCTCAAACATCAAACACTGTTAATTTCCTGATAAGACACTTCCAAGTTGATCCTATCTACCTATGTCCTACTCAAAACGGATTAGAACTGAAGAGTTTGAAGGCAGTTCCCAAACCAATCACAGATGGCCAAGGGGAAGGGCACTGTGCGGCAGCCTGAGCGAAGCGCACAAGTCGCAGGCAATGCAGACAAGCCTGAGTCAGCAAGTTATGAGAGAAAATGATCTCAGAGCTCCCAAGGTGACTGAGAGCACGAGAGGTCTCTGTGCATCTCACTAAATAGTCTCCTTCTCCATCTAAAGAAGGAAAACACTGACAGCGTGCAAAAGCCACCTCTAAGGACAGAAATACAGAGGACACTTTGCAGTATAAATTCTACTTGAGATTTCACATAAATATACCTTGCATACATGTTTTCTTTCATCCTGACAGTACACACTTTGTTGTSTACACTGTAATTTCAAACGCTTATATCTTGTTTTGATGGAAGTAGTAAAACACAGGTCATATTCACTATCCTCATCTAGCTGAGCTATTCCGATGCTTTTGCACCATCCGGGCATTTGCCTGATATAGACCTGGCCATGAGGGAACTGAAGGCAGGGATCTCAGTTGAATTGTGGGGGTGGATCTCCAGCTGCCTCATCAAAAACTTGCTATTAGTCATCAGACCATTGCTGCCCTTCTGCCTCTGTCATCTCCTACATGATCAATGGGTCTCATCAAAAAATGAGTCTAACGGTAGATACAGGAAGGATACGTTGAGTCTAATCATCTGACCTTAGAAAGCCACACAAGTTGCAACAGTTACTGAAATCACAGAATGGTTGAGGTTGAGGGACCTCTAGACACCATCTAATCCAACCCCCTATACACGCAAGGTCACCTAGAGTATGTGGCACAGCGCTGCATCCAGGTGGATTTTGAAGATCTCCAGAGACAGAGACTCCACACACTCTCTTGGCAGCCTGTTGCAGCGCTCTGTCGTCCTCACTGTCAAGAAAAGTTACTGTGGAACTTCTGGTGCTTCAGTTTGTAGCCCTTTCCTCTAGTCTTGGTGGTGGCCACCCCGGAAAAGGGACCACCCCTCCTCCTCCCTCCCTCCCTCCCTTGAGGTATTTATAGACCTGATCAGGTCCCCCCTCAGCCTTCTCTTCTCCAGGCTGAACAGGCCCAGCTCTCGCAGCCTTTCCTCATAGGGCAGATGTTCCAGGCCCCTGAGCATCCTGGTAGTCCTGCACTGGACTCTATCATTTCCACATAAAAACTAGATTACCAATATCTTTCTTAAGTGCCCACTAAAAATGCTTAAAAGCCATTTATTTCAAGACTTTGATCATGGTAGCAATCAAAGCAATTAATTAACATCACAGAAGATATTTCATAAAGCACTTTCTAACTTACAAGCCCTTTACATAGGTTGCGAGTAAAATATGTTGCAGAACAGCATGTAATACCAGATGCAAACTAAGAGAAAAATAGAATGCTCGCAGAATCACGAGTCGTATTCTCTTAATTTAAGGTAATTATATGATGTAACTCTATAATATAAATAATATGAAACCAAAGATTAAAGGACATGTAAAGGACTCCATCAACCCCAGTCCCAGTAGCAGCTGTTTTGCCTTGTTAAGCAAGGACACCTCAGACAGGGATCACAGCAACAACTTTTATACACATAAATATGAAATTGCTTACATCAAAGCATCAGCTGAGCTAGAAAAATTTATTCTCTGGAATCCCACATTATAAATTATGAAAATAATACAGAGGAAGTAACCCACAAATAAAAATGATAGAAAGACAAATATTTTGAGACATGAATCACATAGAAATTGGCAGAACTTAGTTACAGCTAAAATGAAAGATCATCAGAATACAAAAATT